TGGCTCGGGCTGTGCCAGGTGCAGGGTCTGCTAGCTGGGTGCTGGCAGGCTTGCACCTGGCACGGGCACCGTAGCCAGCCCGTGCGCCTTTAAGGGGTCCATGGCCGGGAGGGGCAATAGAGTTTCCCTGGTGTTAGCCAGAGTGGCCACCAGGGAAAGCTGGGGAGGGCTAGCCTCCCACTAGTTCAAATTAAGGGGCTACACAGCCCTTAATTCGAACTAGTAAGTTCGAACTAGGCTTAGTCCTCGTAGAATGAGGTTTACCTAGTTCGAACTAAGTGCTCCACTAATTCGAATTAAGTTCGAACTAGCGGAGCACTTGTGTAGCACGTATCAAAGTTAATTCGAACTAACGGACGTTAGTTCGAATTAACTTTGTAGTGTAGACATACCCTCAATAACTCTCATCACACTCTTTGGCTTTTCAGCCAAATTGTTTCATCAGTTTCATTGCATAGCATGTGAATGAGCCCATTTTGTGCATGCAAACTATTGTGCCCACAGAGTTTCTCCTTTAGAGAAAATAATTGGTTGGCTTCAGACTAATGGATTGAATTTTGCCTTTTCTCTCTCTCTTTCTCTGTCTCTCTTTCAAGAAAATTCGTCATCTTTCCAGGAGGATGAAGAGGTAGATATGGAGGCTGTGAACTGGCAGCTAAACAGCACCCCAATGAATGGGCACTCTCCTACCCCAACCACAGCTCGTTTCCCCAGCTGGGTGACTTTTGATGACAATGAGGTCAGCTCTGCTTCCCCACAGAACCTTTCTCCCTTAAAATCAGAGACCCCATCAATAGCAATGCAGACTGCAGATGTAAACTGTAACCTCACTGCATCCTTTAAGAGGGAGCGCCCCAGGAGCACACTGGTGGACCCCACTAAAGTTCAAAAGCTAGATCTCTCCTCCTTAAACAGACTGCCTTCTGTTGGAACACCTCCCTGGAGTGCTACTAACCCCTTCTTGGATGAGACTCTGAGGGATGTCCAACCCTCACCCATCAACCCATTCAGTGCATTCTTAGAGGAACAAGATAGGCGATCCCACAGCTCCTCTCTCTCTAGTGCTCCAGGCCATAGCCAAAGAGACTCCCTTATTATTCTCTACCAAGAACCTGACACCATCAGCTTCAATGAGTCAAGCAAAAACTTAATCCACACAGGTGCTGTCGAGCAGCTCAAACAACTCCGAATTGGGGATCCAGATCACCTGAGCAGCACAACTCTGCCTGATGATGACCCCCTGATGCCATATGAGATAGTCAGCACATTGCTGAACTTGGCCCCACCTCAGCCCACAGATGGCTGGCCAATGATGCTTAGGATCCCAGAGAAGAAGAACATCATGTCATCTAGGCATTGGGGGCCGATCTACGTTAAACTGACTGAGAGTGGGTATCTACAACTTTTTTATGAAAAGGGACTGGAGAAACCATTCAGAGAATTCAAACTTGAAATCAATCATGAAATTTCAGAGCCCAAGCTCCAAAACTATGATGAGAATGGAAGGATACACAGCGTGAGGATAGACCGCACCATCTACAAAGAGAAAAGGAAGTATCACCCTAAACCAGCAGTCAGCCATGCAGCAGAAAGGGAACAAGTGATAAAGCTAGGTACTACTGATTATGAAGACTTCCTTAGTTTCATCAGCACAGTTCAGGATATGCTAATGGACTTGCCGGCCTCATCATCAGATCTGAGCACAGTAGGATTAAACTATCAAGAGGAAGAAATCACTGTTGATGTCAAGGATGAATTTCATGGCATCTTGGCCAAAGGAGACAATAGGATTCTCCAGCACAGTGTGCTGACTCATATTCATGTTCTCAGCTTCCTTTCTGGCCTCGCAGAATGCAGGCTGGGCCTTAATGACATCCTTATCAAAGGAAATGAAGTTGTTGCACGGCAGGATATCATGCCCACCACTACCACCAAGTGGATCAAGTTGTATAACTGCCAGTTCCATTCCTGCGTGGATGAGGAAGAGTTTAACAGTTCCCATGTTATCCAGTTTAATCCCTTGGATGCTTGCCGATTCGAGCTGATGAGGTTCAGGACTGTGTTTGCTGAGAAGACTTTGCCTTTCACTCTGAGAACAGCAGCCACTGTCAATGGTGCTGAAGTGGAGATCCAAAGCTGGCTGATGATGTCTACTGGGTTCTCCTCCAACCGTGACTCACTAACTCAAGTCCCTTGTGAAAACGTGATGGTCCGCTACCCAGTGCCAAATGAGTGGGTGAAAAATTTCCGCAGGGAAAGTGTCCTGGGCGAAAAGTCTTTGAAAGCCAAGGTGAACAAGGGTGCCAGTTTTGGATCAACCAGCCTATCTGGTTCTGAGCCAGTAATGAGAGTAACTTTGGGAACTGCCAAATATGAACATGCCTTTAATTCCATTGTATGGAGGATAAACCGACTGCCTGACAAAAACTCAGGTGAGTAGAGTGTACTGTGTCTGTGTGGATAAACTTTAAAGGAAAGATATGCTTGAGAAGGTTGGGGACATTGGAATTATATGGGACAGTAGATAAACAGTTGTCCTTCTAGAACGTTCCCAGGGACATCAGTTGTCTGAAATGGCTGGTTGTCTTCCTCATCCTAAATCTTAGTTTAACGTGTCTTACAAAGAATCACTTGTTTTGATCCAACCATTTTGGTGTAGCCACATACAAATATGCCTTCCAGTCATGGTTTTATCAATGCATTCTGGGACTTATACCTCAGCTTTCCCATAATGCACTACACTGTGACTGAGAACAAGAAGTTTTTTGATAACTTCCAAATGTAAAGCACTGTACTGTGGTATATTAGGGGGGCCAGCTGAATCATTGTATCTTCATCCCTGTGATTTCTTATTCACAATGTTGAAGATTGGACTGATGTGAGATAAAGATATCACTGCATATGTTGCAACCAACTGGTGCAACCAGTGCTATACACATACCACGTATGGTGGCTGTATGTGGACATAGGACACTGTGTACAAGCTAAAAACGTACCAAAGCTACATCTTTCATCTGGTGTGTATAAGAACTAAGACGTAATTTCATATTTAAAGGTACAATATCAAGATAAATCATATACTTTAACAATCCTGTGTTTTATTAGTTATACTTCTAATTATTAACATTCAAGTAATCTGCAAAACTTAATTAATTTTTTACCGCCACTATCATTTGTTCACTTTCTGCCCTTTATCCAGGTTGGGCAGTGAAATTTGATCAATATAGTTTACTTTCTGTTTATAGTGAATTACCCTTTCTGGTTCTCATGCCTTTGGCTAATGCTGTTCATTGTATCAATGCTGTTTAAAACACTGTCTTATTTCTGTAGCTGCTTTACAGGGCAGGTTCCTGCCTATACTTTTTTCCTACAAGACAAGTTCTGTGTTGCTCCAGACCTGGTCCTTTCTGAGAATATCTGTTCTCATTTGGCAGGAGGGAAGGAAAGCACTAAACTAGGTGCTTCTCACCTTTTGGATCACTTTTCAGCTCAATATGGGCTCCATCACAGAGTATAAATCTGGAGACAAATCACCCTTGATTTCATAAGAGGCTCTGAGAGTTTACTTTGGAGGAAGACTAGAAGCAAAGAGTAGGGGGAATAAACAGAAACATCAGGATGAAAGACTAATCTCATGTCAACAACAGCATGACTGGGGAAAGATATACTATCAATCTGACCCTAAATACAAGTAAATATGTGCTTGTTAGGAAAATTCCACTGTGCCACCTGCCTCACCCGTCAGGTCAGGGGATGAAATTCAGTGACAATTATTCTTCTCTGGCACCAGCCATCTTAGGATCTTAGCATGCTTTACAGACATACAGCTGGGAAAATTGAAGCCTACATAGATTAATCATATGTCTGCACTTCAGGCTAGAAGGCATAATTCTCAGCCCAAGGTGGCATACCCATGTTAGCTCTGACCTAGCTTGCAGGCTAAAAATAGAATGTAGCCCTATCAGTGGCAAGGGCTAGCTGCCCCGAGTACATAAATATCCATGTTGTTGGCAAGTATTCAAGTCTGCTATCCTTCAGACTACCACAGTTATGCTTTATTTTTAATGTACTAGCTCAGTCACTGGCGCATGTATATGTCCTTGAGCTGGAATTTACACCTCCAGCTCAAAGTATGGACATAACCTTAAGTGACTTGTCTAAATTCACACAGCATGTCACTAGCAGAATTGTTCTCAGACTCCAGAATTCTTGACTCTTCTGCCTACTCAAGCCATTAGTGATGCTCGCTTACTCACTTTTACCTTATGTGAAATGTTAACTCAAGTCTCCAGTTCTTTGTCCTTGTCTGTCTGTGAACTTACATCTGCCTCCCAACAGGGGAGGATGAAGCTGAGATGAAGTCCCTGCTGTTGGAGTATATTGCTGAACTTCTTCCCAGAACAGCTTGGTAAACTCTGTTGCTCTTATCTTCCCCCACAGTACTGAGCAGTAGAGACACACACGGGTGCTGGGGAGGAGCAAGGGTGCCATGGCTGCAAACAACCTCTCCTGTCAGGTCACAGTGTGACATCAGGGAAAGGAAAGGGGAGCAGGCATTATGACATGGCCACTTTATCTGTGAAAAGTAGTCTGGGAGGGAATCTCTACTAGGCCTAGTATAGTTTGAATCCTTGCCTCTCAGGGACTATTTATATTTCTTGACCTCACTTATCCTATGGCTCTATATGCTCAAAATATATAACATTTTAAAAAACCACAGAGAGCTCCCTGAATGAATAGAGACCCATCCATCTAGCCACCCACATCCTTCATGCCTTATCAAAAGGTGGGCTGTACTGGATGCCCTGAATGTTGACAAATCCTGGCAGTAGTAGACCAAAGAAGGGCAAATTTCACTTCAAGGATCCCCATCAAAAATATGGTGCAGCAGCCCCCTGCAGTTTAAATCAAGGAGGATCTAGCTGCCTGTCCTCACTGACTGCTACTAAAGGTGGTATTAGAGCAGGGCTGGGCAAAATGCGGCCTGGGAGGCCGGATCTGTCCTGCCTAACACTTTGATCCAGCCTATGGACTGCATTGCGCTGTTTTCTATTTATATCCTGCTATCCATGCCACTGAATTTCCAGATAGGGTTGCCACATGTCCTGTATTGACCCGGACAGTCTGGTATTTTTACCTCCTGTCCAGTAAAAAAAAATTCAGAAAATACTGGATACCTAAAATGTCCAGTATTTTCTGATTTTTTTTCCCCCAGCCAGGAGGCAAAAATACCTGGCACCCCTACAACACACCCAGCAACTGGGCCTAGCCCCTGGCCTCCCCCCTGGACCTCCGACACCCCCTGCCCCTGGATCCTCTACTTACCTGATTCTGCAGGGAAGCTAAGTTCTGGCTTGAACAAGAACACAAAATGGCTACCGGCAAAAAGCCTAAAGACCAAGGGGAAGCAATGCCTTCCCTGGGTCTTAGTGCTCAATAGCTCCCCTGTTCCTATCCCTATTCTGACTCTGCACTCACTCTGAAAGGGACCATGCTGTTTTATTATTTATTTATTTATTTTTGCTTAAGAAAAGTTTCGGAGTCCTTCCCTCCCCCCCAACAGAATTTTTCCCCAGTTTTTTTTGGGGGGGGGGCTTCAGTATTTTTGGTTCAACCATCTGGCAACCCTATTTCCAGGCGGTGGCTCAGATAGCAGGATCCTATTTAAATGGTTCATGGTTCCCCGTTGTGGTGCTATCCCGGCAGGGGCTGGGGCAGCGAGCCTTATAAATAGCCACAGCAACCCTGGGTGGCTGCAAGGCAATGTGGTAGCATCACAGCCGGGAGCCCTTTGCTGTGTTTTTAATTCAAGGCCTCCAGCCCCAGACAACTCTGGGAGGAGGGAAGTCCCCAGTCCTACCTCTTCCTCCCCAGGCTCCATTCCTTCCAGGGGTAGGGAAGCTGGCCTGTGACCACATAGCAAAATTCATTAAGTGACCACCGGCGAAAATTATTGCCAACCCCTGTATTAGAGGGGGAGAGTGGTGGGTGGGTCCTTCAGATAGCCAAGTCCTAAACCATTTAACCTGGTGCTCACTTGCATTTCATAAAATCCAAGCTCCAGTTTCTGGGAATTATTCCCGTAGCTTCATTACCTTATCTAGGTTTCCTTGTCTTTGTGGTCCTGATATGAACAGGCCCTGTGCTCTCCAGCTTTTCAGCCTTCCCTGAGGGCCATCTGTGAAAGCATCTGGGCCATTTGCTTGTGGCTACAAATTGAAAAGCGTACAACTGAATCAAACAATCCATGTATTTAGCCTTTGTTTTTCTCTTGGAAGCAACTAATGGCAGGATTCCACAGAATATGTGGCTGAGCTTCTTCCTAGAACAGCTTGATAAACTCTGTTGCTCTTCTCTGATTCACAATGAACATGTTGACTCTGGCTGATAAAGGAAGCCTGTTTATAGGCCCCATAGAGCCTCAGTTACAACTGGATGTGATCCAGCACAAGAGTACTAGCATGTGTTTTTACCCTCTGGCAATGAAAGAAGAGTATTAAGAAAATAGCTGTACTGAGGCTTTATGATCATGGGAAAAAGCTGTACAAATAAAGCAGAGGTGTGACCCAAACCAGAATTTTGGATCTAGCTATCCTGAACTGTGGAGTAGTTTGGCTATTGATCCAGTCCCAAGCATACTTGCTGGTCCTAACTGTAAAGTGGGCCAAATTAAAACTCTAGATCTTACCGCCTCTGAGCTTTGGGGACAGTTTAGAACCAGGTCCATTCCAAACATGGCTGCTTATGCCTATTTCTGAAACAGATAATTTTCAACACAGACTTTATGATCAGGAATGAGTGAGAAAGAAAGAGATATTGGTGGCTCAGAACGGCAGGAAGTCCAGAAGATGATGAGTCTGCCTGAAGTCTTCTCTTGGTTTTACTGCTGAATTTTATGTGTCTTTCAGATTGAGGGATCTGATTGGGTATGATGGGGGAAATACAAGTATAATGAAGTTATATTTTGCAACCCCTGGTCAATTAGGGTGCGTCTAGATTACATGCCTCTGCCGACAGAGGCATGTAAAATAGGCTACCCGACATAATCAATGAAGCAGGGATTTAAATATCCCCAGCTTCATTAAAATAAAAATGGCTGCCGCGCTGTGCCAGCTCAGCTGATTGTCAGCACAGCATGCGAGTCAAGACGCTGATCGGTCGACAGGGGAAGCCTTCGTTGACTGCTCCTGTAAACCTTGATATTTAAATCCCAGCTTTATTGACTATGTCAGGTAGCCTATTTTACATGCCTCTGTCGGCAGAGGCATGTAATCTAGATGTACTCTTAATGACTGCATGGGTTCCTTATTTTTTGTTAAAACTTTTGTGTATTTTTCCATTCACAGAAGTTTCACTTATATAATGTAAGTGCAAGAGTGGGCATCAACAGTAAATGTTTGAATGATGTGCTCAGAGAAAGAGGCTAGGGACACATCCATTGTTTAGCCCAAGTTAAAATATTCTTGAATCTTTCATTTGAAATATCCTAGTGATCCCATAATTGGTAGCAGGTATTTCAAATTCCACAGGGAGTGGTCTTTGTAAGTTGTAAGTGGTCTTTGAAAAGTTGTATGCTCTACAGAGATTTTTCAGAGCTTAGCAAAAATTTCTGAGCATTCCCAAGCCTCTCACAGCTGATAGTGCTTAGCAGACTGTCAGGGTATGTCTACACAGCAGGGCTAAAGTTGAATTAAGATACACAACTTCAGCTACATCATTGCATAGCTGAAGTTGAAATAGCTTAATTCAGCTTTTGGCACCGTCTACACAGCGGGAATTCAAAGGAAAAACACTCTTCCTTTGACTTCCCTTATTCCTCCTGAAGTAAGGATTACCATGAGTCGGAGTGGGTACGTCTAAACTATATGGCTCCATCGACGGAGCCAGGTAGATTTGTTTTTTTGGCAAAGGCAAATGAAGCCGCGATTTAAATTTACATGGCTGCTGCGCTGAGCCGACAAACAGCTGATCAGCTGTTTGTCGGCTCAGCGCAGCAGCCATGTAAATTTAAATCGCCGCTTCATTTTCCTATGCCTAGTAGCCTAATCTACATGCCTCTGGTGACAGAGGCATGTAGTCTAGACGTACCCTCACGGCAGCCCCGGTAAACCTCATCCCACGAGGAATAACAGGGCTGCCGACAAAGGGCTTTGATGTCAGCAGGGGAGCATCCAGACTAGCACGCTGAGCTGACAAACAGCTGATCAGCTGTTTGTCGGCTCAGCGCGGCAGCCATGTAAATTTAAATGAAGCCGCAATCATTTAAATCGCGGCTTCATTTGCCTTTGCCTATCTGTCTAATCTACATGGCTCCGTCGACGGAGCCATGTAGTTTAGACACACCCAGTAAGAAGTCCTTCAACTCAATATTATTTCGATATAAAGGCTTGTAGTGTAGACGCGCCCTATGTTATTTAGGAATAACGTCAGTATTCCAGAATAACGCTGCTGTGTAGACATACCCTCAGAGAACAAGAAAGTATGTTCCTTGCCTTAGTTCAAAAGGTTTTGGCTCACCCTAGCCTGGCTCAGCCATTGCATGAAAAGTGTTCCTGAGCCTGATAGTCCTGGGCTAAAGAATGCTCTGTTTTAGTCCAAACTATTAAAGTTTGACAAGTTATAAGCAACTGAAAATAGACTCTTATAATGGGAAATACTGAGCACATTTAACAATCAGTGCTCTCAGTTCTGCCTGTAAATGGTGGAACTGTCTTTCTCAAGTGGTGGTGTTGACTCTTGACAGGGCAAAGTGATCCTCATCACTGGACTGTGTACTGCAAGATCCTGCCTTTGGCTGTGCCCATACCTGATGCTGCCCACAGTGCACCAGTGCAGTATATGGAAATTGGTTGGATATTTCCTTCCTGATCTTTGTGTTGACTGGTTTATATTCATTTAGTGAATTCTCATTCACTGAAGCCAGTCTAGAATGATCAACTATCATCCCTGCAGATTGTTTACTTTAGTCATTTCTGGATGCTCCATTTGCACTGTAACTATTATAACTTCATAACTTACTCAGACAGTCTCTGTTTATCACTTTTTTAAGATGCTTCTTGCTGTGGGGAGGGGGGGTTCCCTTGTTGATCCTCACAACAGTTTTAAGTTTTATTTTCTCTCTCTCTTCCCAGCTTCTGGCCATCCCCACTGCTTCTTTTGCCACTTAGAGCTTGGCTCTGACCGGGAAGTGCCTTCCAATTTTGTCTGCTATGTGGATGTGGAGTTTGACATGCCCACTACTTCAGCATCCAAAGCCACTGTTAGGTCCATCTCTGTAGAGGACAAGACTGATGTCAGGAAATGGGTCAACTATTCAGCACACTACAGTTACAAGGTAAAGTGCACAGTTGGCAATCTCTGCAGCAAGCATAGCTGTTGCACGATTCATTTTTCTTTAGATGTATTTACTGCTGGTGAAAGAGATGATTTATCAAGGTGAAAGAGTCAGAGGTAGGAGCAGAACTCTTGAATCCCAGCCCTGTGCTTAGATCACTAGACAGCCCTGACTGGTTGCACTTGGAATTTCTGTATCCATCACTGCCAAACAAGTACCTGTTTAGTGACACAGGGTTTCCTTATGCTTTTCTGTAGTAGTATACACCTTTCTAGCTTCAGCAATTTTGCAAGTATTCTAGTCAAAATTAAGTATTTCTGTACTTTTTAAATGTGATGGGCTATTAACTGACATAAATCAGCATAGCTCTATTTGTTTCTATGGAACTACACCAGCTCTCACCAGCTAAAGAGATAGGGTCAATCTTCAAAAGTACACAAGCCCCATTTTTAGAAAGGATTTATGAGACTTAGTCTCCTAAAGGCCAGATTTTTAAAGGTATTTTGGTACCTAAGTATAGTTGGTCATGAATTTCTCAACATTTTGGGGGGCTGGGTGGGAGAGGGAGCAGATTTGTCAAAATCACTACTTTCTGTAGAATCATACTACAGGCAGTCCCTGGGTTACGTACAAGATAGGGACTGCAGGTTTGTACTTAAGTTGAATTTGTACTCAAGTCGGAACTGGCGTCCAGATTTAGCCGCTGCTGAAACTGACCAGCGGCTGACTACAAGAAGCCCGAGGCAGAGTTTCTCTGTCCCGGGCTTCCTGGAATCAGCCGCTGATCAGTTTCAGCAGCAGCTGACTTGGGGACACCTGGGGTAGAGCAGCTGGGGTGCTGCCGGGTTGGTCCCCACAGCGCCGAGGTGCGGCGCTGCGGGGACCAACCTGGCAGCAACCCAGCTGCTCTGTCCCAGGCGTCAATTCAGCCGCTGTTGAAACCGAACAGCAGCGG